AAAAGTTGCAAACTACTAAAATAAAATTTGCAATATTTTTAATACGTCCAAAAAAAAAACAAACAAATGCAAAATTGTTCTCTGCAAACACTAATGCTCTTTACATGCCAATATTGTAATATTTAAATAATTTTATTAGTTTTCATAGCAAACAAAATTGCTTATTTATTTATATATCTATCATTGCTTTTAGGCAATATTTCCAGTCGTTAGCACAGCATATGTACATACATATGTATATAGGTATATGCACGCTATAAAATATACACTTACATACATATGAGTACAATATTATGTAAAAATATGATTGAATTTGCAGGCATTTTGATTTATTTTGCAATATCTTTGTGGTTGGCTTGCTCTTGAACTCAGCCCATTTTTCTTACTTTAGGTTGTTGTTGTATGTATAATGTTGAAACGAAACAATGTTAAGTGGTTGTATTGTTGGCGTGGTTCACATGGCCATTATCATATAAAAATATACTCATCGCAAACATATGTAGCTACACATATGTAGTATAAGGAGATACATTGAGATACTTACATATATTGAAAAAAATGTTTTGGGCAAATCAACAAATCTTTTTTAAAAATTCTTTACCGAAGTAAACCCCCAAGGGGACTTTACTTCATGCTAACTGAACATTTTCGCATCAATTTTCATTGATTACACAACACTTAAGGAATACCCCAGCTTGTGTCTCGTTGTCCCAAGTATTTCGTTGAAAGTATTAAGTTTCCTTTGATTAACTTTGATTTGTAGTTGACAATCGGTTTTCCCACCCTTTATGTGAAGCATAAATTCATACAGGCTTAAGAAAGACGTCAGAATTCGCTTGATTTGTATTATCTTAAGTGTACAATAAATCCTAAGTTTTTGCTTTAAAAATTCGGGTCTACGTTTGCTAACAACGTTGGTTAAAACTTAATGTCGGGCGTACAGTGTGTATTTTGAGTCAAAATCTAAAATCTCGGGAACGAGAACAAAAACGAAACGAATCCAAGAGCCCTTTGTGGCCAAAGTGATATGAGTTTATTGGAAAAGGTTACATTAAATAAAATTTCCTAGGGCTTCAAAAGTAGAATGTTCCGTGATCTGAATAGCCTTCCTAGAAGTCTCATACAGTTTTGTTGTTCTTTTGTGTTGTTGTCGTTTTTTTTTTAGTAAGAAATTCAATAAACCTAATACTGAAGATCGTTTAAAAGCCAGGGTTGTTTTTATCTAACGAGACTTTTAAAAGTAGAATTTACATGAGTGGAGGGCGGTAAACTGACACTCCGAAATTTCGTCAAGTCAGGGATTTCTGGAAAAAGTTTACCATTACTAAGTACTGATAATCCTTATGTTAGCATGCAAGTAGCCCAGATCGAAGGCTACCTATGTACTAAAACCGAAGAAAACAAGAATATATTAAGTCGAAACTAAGTTCTAACACTGAGAAAAATATGTATTTAAACTGTATGATTTTGCGCCAAGCATTAATACTTTTATTCTAAACATATGTATTTTTGCTTAAGATTTTCATGCTAGGATACACTTCGTTATACACTTAACAGACACTTTTTTAAAGTAAAAAGCAAGCCAAGTTCAAAAACAATCTGAACAAAATGAGCTAATCGGTTCAGAAATACTATGTCCAAAATAGAATACCCGAAATGTTCAATCGAGCGTTACCGGGGTATTATTTAAATTAATAAAAGACTTCTAAATGTTGTCCAACTCGACATAATAAGAGTGGGAAGTACCACTTGCGTGTAGTCGTTTGATGAATTCAGTGATGTTTTTTGTGTGAAAAAGAAGCAGGAAAAAATGTTGCTCATACGCCATGTCCGCGTGTTTTACCAAACTGAATAGGGAAACAATAAAAAGTTATTACGCAAAAAGTGATTAGTCGTAGCGTAATATTTCCCGTAACAATTATTTAGATAATTTGCAGTAAATATTTAACACCACATTACCAGATCTATATAGTTCGTTCGATTTTCCAAAAGGCGTCACATTAAAATACTTGGCCTATGGATTTGCAATATGGCTTTAGTTTTTTGAAAAGGGTTGCCATATGTTAGAAAATTAAATTAAAGTAATCGAGCCCGCATTTACTTGCGTTAAATATTTAAAACCACGTCAGCAAATCGGATCTGTATAT